CAATAATAATAATAATAAAATAATATTTAAACTAACGTTAATAAAAATGTAATTTATAGCCTTCATTATTAAAATGATTAAAATAAAAAATGAAATATCTTATCTTTTTGCGTGCAAATAAAAAATACAAGATCCTATAAATCTTCTACGAAAAAAAAAGAATATTTGCAATAATAAAAAACACTTGCTATTAAAATTTGACGCGGCTCGAGGGTGGAACATCCCGCGCGAAGAAACTTTAGTATCCTGGAGAGATTTAATTCAGATTATATCGTGATTCGTCTTGAAAAAAGAATGAGACGGGCGATAAGGACCAAGCCGGAATTGCTACGTTACTGCTACGACTACGAATACGAATGAGTTATTTCTCCTCTCTACGTCCGCTCCTCCATGCATTCTGCGAGCGAGCATTCTCGATCGCCCATGGGAAAGATTTTCGGCGTATAATGGGACCCCGTTGTCGTCCTCCGCAACTTACGGAGAGGGCTTTTATTAGGATTTGGGGTGCGCGGGAACTTCAGCGAGAGAAACCATAATAGATTCGCGAATCTGTCTGGCCTTTGCGTTTGTCCTGTAAGGGTTCACCGAAACGAGCTTCGTGAGGCATTGCCGTATCGAGCGAATGTCCATGCGAGTGAAATTCCGCCCGTACGAATATACATACATGCATATGTGCAAGTAAAAGGCTAATTAACATATCGGCGCTGTTAGCGCGTCGTGCTGTATTCGCAAAGACAACAGGAAATTGTCTGTTAGTGCGCAGGTACATAAACAATCGCCTCGAGGAGCGAAACCGCTTTTGCATATTGTTTACTTGTCTCGTTGCATCACTCCGGCCTGATTTTATAATGTCTGATTTAAGGGGGCATACCCGTTTGAACCTTTGAAAAATGAATACATTTTCTAGATTTTTTTGCAGCGCAACGACTTGATAAAAACTTTTTATTTTTTTACAATATTATTAAGTACCTAAATAAAAATTTTCAGCCTAAAAATTTTTTTTTTAGTTTATGCGGATATTTGCAGATTTATATTTTCAACATTTGATAAAACTTTTTTCAATATGTCGCCATTTTCTTATTTTTAAAAATTTTGAAAAAACGCTTGGATAGCAGATAGCTATTAATATGTTTAATAAAAAAAAGCTTGTATTTTTTATTTCGGATATGATCTACGAACGTTTTCAAAATTAAAAATTTTGCAAATCGTTGCTCTGCAAAAAAATCTAGAAAATGTACTCATTTTTCGAGGTTTCAAACGGGTATGCTCCCTTAATTAGTAGAATATTATGATTGTCAATTAACAACGAAATATTTCTTTCAGAGGGGAAAAGACATTATAATGTTTTCTAATAATATAAACAGTTTAAATTTTTTTTAGTTAAGCTTTGTAGTGTTGACAATTTTCATTACAATAGAAAATTCCAAGCGTGAAAATTTCTCTCAAATAAATATATATTATTAATATGCGAGATGTAATTAATTACAATTATACGTAATTATACGTATATTTCTCTGTGCGAATTGTCTCTAATAAAAACTTGGCTATTAATAATTCCGGTCTAGATTCGCCAACATACTATTACATTATCAAACGCGTAATTAGAAAATCGCGGATCTTGCCACAGCGATCGGATCGAATCCCGCCTAATCGATCGAACGTATAATTCGCGTCCGATTTTAATAAGAATTGCGCTCGTATCGCCGCCTTGCGAAACGCCTCGAACGCTGCCGAGCGCCGTATAAACGGTAGATTTAATCGGCGTGATTCGAGTAAAGCGAGAAACGATCGATTACATCGTCGGCCTGCGCTGCTGCGCGGCAAATATCGGATATCGACCGAAACGCACGATCGAGTACAAAGGCGCCGCTCGCCATCGCCGCTGGAAAAGGCAGTGCGTAAAACCGCCAGCAGACGTATTGCACGAGGAGCAGCGACTCTCCTTCGATACCTCCGTCGCAAATTCATATCTCCGCTCGTAAATATTCGCATAGTTCTCGAGGACTGCGGAAAAATTGAAGAGCGATGAAAAGAGTTGTGAAAAATTCTTTGAAAACAATTTCTCTCTTCTGTGCTTACTGCTTTCCAAATTCGTAGTTACATTAATTTATATAAACTACACTGAAAAAAATGTATCAAATCCAAAAAAATTTTTTTGATTTAAAAAAA